TGTGGTTGCTGGGAATTGAACTCAGGACCTTTGGAAGAACAATCAGTGCTCTTAACCTCTGAGCCATCTCTCCAGCCCAATTTTTTTTTTTTACTTGTTTGTTGTTTTTGAGACAGGGTCTCCCTTACTGTCCTAGAATATACTGTGTAGACCAGGCTGGCCTCAAAACTCACAGATCACCTGACTCTTCCTGAGTACTGAGATAAAAAAGTCAAGCACTACCACATCCTACTGCAGTAATTTTTAAATGAGTTTGTTTGTTTTTATTATTGCTTTTTATGTATATTTTATCATAGGGAGTGGTTTTTTCGGTTTCTTCTGTTGGTTTGTGCTGGTTTTGAGAAAGGGTCTCCTTGTGCAGGCTTTCCTCTCTATCCCCCACCTCCCAAGTTCTGGGATTATAGGCCGATGCCAGCCTGCTTTTGTTTTATTGATAACAGGGTCTGACTCTTTAGTTCAAACTCGTACAACCTTCTTGCCTCCCAAGTTCTGAAATTATAGACTAAGCCACAATACTTCGCTTATCATAGGTCTTGATAACTTGAGTTGTTTCATAAATTGTCTACTTTATTATGTTATGGAAAGCATGCCAATTGTAATTTTACTGTGTTTTTCATCATCATCATTTTGCTTTTTTCAAGACAGGATTTCTGTGTAACAACTCTGACTATCCTGAAACTCACTCAGTAAACCAGGCTGGCCTTGAACTCACAGAGATCCTCCTGCCTCTGCCTGTCTCAAAAATCAAAACAAAAACAACTAGTAGACGGAAAAAACACTTGGCAGTTCTCAAAAAGCTAAATTTAGAAATTTCATATCATCAGCATTCCCACTTTTATAGTTATAATAATAATAATAATAATAATAATAATAATAATTGGAATGAGAGCTGGTAGAATGACTCAGTGACTAAAGGCATTCACCTCCAAGCCTGAAGACCTGTGTTTGATCCCTGGTACCCTCTACCCATAAAATAAATTAAATATAATAAAACAGTTGGAATGATTATAGCAGTATTACTAATAATAGTCAAAAAGTATAAATAGCCCAGTTTTTTAAAACTGAAGAGTAAACAGACTGGACTGTTACTTTTTAAAATTTATTTATTTTTATTTTATGTGTGCATTGATGTTTTGCCATGGGTGTCGGATCCCTTGGAACTAGAATTACAGACCATTGTGAGCTGCCATGTGGATGCTGTGAATTGAACCCAGGTCCTTTGAAAGAGCAGTCAATGCTCTTAACCACTAAGCCATCTCTCCAGCCCCCTGTTACTTTAACTTACAGAATGAAATATTGTTAACTATTCTATTAGAGTAACATCTTAGAGATAGAATGCTCTATGACCTCTGTGTAGGTTTTAAAACATGCTAATTGAAAGAAGTCTGGGCCAGGTGGTGGAACACACCTTTAAGGCCAGCACTTGGGGGCAGAAATAGGTGGATCTCTGAGTTCAAGGCTAGCCTGGTTTACAGACTGAGTTTCAGGACAGGCTCCAAAGCTACACAGAGAAACCCTGTCTTGAAAAAGTCAGACACAAAAGACCTTATTACTCTAGTCCCATAGTAGGTAATGTCCATGGTGACAGAGCGCAGAGTGGTAATTTTCTGAGGCTGGGGGAGTAAGTAGTACCTGGGAATGTCTGGAAGATAGTGAGGCTTTGCAGATAACTGTGCCACATGTGTGGATGTCAAAGGACTAAATTGGGAATTGGTTCGTTCCATTCTCCCTGTGAATCCTGGGCATTGAGGTCAAATCATCAGACCTATTTGCCAGGGCCCTTACCACTGCTTAAAGGTAAAGCTTTTCTTAGCTTTTCACAAATTGAAATCTCCTTAGATACCAATAATGTTCTGTAAGCAAATTTAATCACAGATTTTTATGACACCTTGTAGCATCCTGTACAGCAGTTAAGACAACACTAACATCTAGAACATGCAAGTTTCAGAGAGTTCATTTGACCTAAAACTGTTTTCAACTGCCAGTAATTAACACTTCCAGCTCCAGCCAAACAGTATGATTATCTCATATAAAGTAATACACAGAAATAAACCAGGCTATCAGGTTGATTGGTTTAGGGATCTACAAGGTTTTTAAGCAAATTTCTTCCTGTGTTCTGTTGTAACCAGCCTCATTCTGGCTCCAAAGCTGCTTTTCCTTACAGGTACATAATGGCTGCCAGCAAATACTGGATTACTGTCTTTGCTTGTTCATTCTGGGTACAGTGGTATATTAATATTGATCCCTAGTAAAGTCTTTTCTCAGATCTTAGCCAGTTAGACTAATCCTGAAAGCAGTCACTGCAGAATGGAGCCCAGTGAAGGAGCCTGAGTTTCCTTCAGTTAGGGTTCCCCAAGTGTGATTTCCCTCAGCAGGCTCTTGATAGACTTCAGATAGCACAAAGACGTGTACTGGTATGACAGTGTCTGGGCCTAGATAAAATGTATAATGACCAGAGGTTGGTTTTTCAAGAGTTTTAGAGACCAGGAAGTCCAAGATCAAGGTGTTTTCTATAGACAGAAGAAGGGGCCCTGGTGGTGATCTTCTCTGTAGATTGTGACAGTCAGACAGAAGAGGGGCAGCTGGAGGTACATTGTAACAGAAGAGGGGTCACTGGAGGTGATCTTCTCGGTACATTGTAGCAGTCAGACAGAAGAGGGGCCACTGGGGATGATCTTCTTGGGTAGATTGTAACAGTCAGACAGAAGAGGGGCTATCTTTTTCCCCCCCCAAACAAGGTTTCTCTTATGTATCCTTGGCTATCCTGGAACTCACTCTGTAGACCAGACTGGCATTGAACTCACAGATTCACCTCCCTCTGTTTCCCCGCTGCTGGGATTTAAGGTGTGAACCACCACAAGCGGTTCACTCTTTTATAAGGACCTTAACTCTGATAAAAAAGCACTATCGTTCTTCCTTATAAGCTAACTACCTCTCAAAAGTTCCAATATAAGCTACAGAGAAACACTGTCTCCAAAAAAAAAAAAAAAAAAAGGGTTCCAATATACTTTCTGTTGTTTGGTGTTTGAGAAAACTTTTACCAGGCTTAAGGTCTAAACTCTTATAGCTAGCCTGGCGATGGTGGCGCACGCCTTTAATCTCAGCACTCGGGAGGCAGAGGCAGGCGGATCTCTGTGAGTTCAAGACCAGCCTGGTCTACAGAGCTAGTTCCAGGACAGGCTCCAAAGCCACAGAGAAACCCTGTCTCGAAAAACCAAAAAAAAAAAAAAAAAAAAAAAAAAAAAAAAAAAACCTCTTATAGCTGTCAGTACATTTATACATGGGTTTTAGAATAGAGATTAAGACTTTGACTGTATTTCTTGTGAGTTCACAGCATATAAATAATCTTTTACTTTGCTTGTTTGATTTGTTTTGTTTTTTGAGATGATTGGCCTAGACCAAGATGGCCTCAAACTCAGAGTTGGTTGTATATGCCTTTAATCCAGCACTTGGGAGTCAGAAGCAGGTGGATCTCTGTGAGCTTGAAGTCATCAGGACAGCTACACTGTGTAGAGAGATCCTGTCTCAAAAACAAACTCCTTGAGTCCATCTGCCTCTGCCTCTTGATTTTTTTTTTTTAAATTTGGGTGGTTTTTTGTTTTGTTTTGACTAGGTTTGGTTTGGTTTTTACATGCATGTGTATACCGTGTACATGACTGGTGCCTGAAGAAACTAGGAAAGGGCATAGGGTCCCCTAAAACTGGGGTTACAGACATTGTGAGAATAGTGAAAATAGTCTTTGTTTTAATTGTGGATCAGAGATAATTTTCTGTTTCAAGTGAACAAGATTTATTATTTTTATTGAAAAATAAGAATTCTAATAACTGTGCCTTTACCTCAGTAAAACAGTATCCTACCTTTTTTTGTTTGAGACATGTTCTCACTGCATAGCTCTGGCCATCCTGGAACTCAACTATGTAGATCAGGCTGGCCTTGAACTCAGAGATCTGCCTGCCTCTGCCTCCTGAGTGCTGGGATTAAAGGTGTGTGCCACCACTGCCCAGCCTTCAGTTATCAGTCTCTTATGTGGAACAAATAAAAAGGTGTCAGAAATATAAGATGAGCCTGGTAGTTCGGGTATGTGAGCCCAATCACTTGGAAGACTGAGGTAGGAAAAATCACAAATTCAAGCCTGCTAGGGATCCAGGGTGAGTTTATGGCATCCTGAGACCCTGTCTCAAATTGTGAGAGGACTGTGGACTAACACACCAGAGCCTTCAGATAAGGGAAATTTCTTGTAACAATTCAGTGCTATTGTTGGTTTTCCTTTTCTTCTTGACACCATATAACTATCTGAATCATCCAAACCACTTTCTGCAGCTGGGTGGCATGGTGCGTCCTGGTAATTCAGCATTCTGGAAGATGAGGTGGAAGGGTCAGCTATATAGTGAAGTCCTGCCCTACAGAAGAAAGAACAAGAAAGGAATGCTGGCATCAGAACTGAAAATACTTAAATTGTGTGATACTTAAAGAAGACATAGCGGGGTGGTGGTGGCATGCGCCTTTAATCCCAGCACTCAGGAGGCTGAGGCAGGCAGATCTCTGAGTTCAAAACCAGCCTGGTCTACAGGAGCTAGTTCCAGGACAGGCTCCAAAGCCACAGAGAAACCCTGTCTCGAAAAACCAAAAAAAAAAAAAAAAAAAAAAAAAAAAGAAGAAGACATAAAGCCCAGTGGGAAAGTAGTCAGAACAGACTTCCAGCACACACACACTCGCACACACACACACACACACACACTGCCTTCAATGACTTGTGACAGAGGCACCTTGCAGGGAATTCAGTGATGTTGGGAAAACATGACTCACATTCAACAGGTGACGATGAACTAGAGAATATGAATGTGGTTCAGTGGTAACTCATGAGACGCGTGTTCAACACTCTGTGCTTGGTGCCCAGCAGCACACCCTCAGAATGAAGCTAGCCTCTTACCATATACCATATACAGTGTCGACCTCAAATAGAGCCTCCCCAAAAAACAAAGCATGAGCTAAAATTATAAAAGTTTTAGAATAAAACATAGGGGGAAGACTTCGTAACATAATACCTGACAATGATTTCTTGAGTATAAAACCACACACTCAGGAAGTGAAAGAAAACTATGTGACTTGTTCTGCATCATAATATAAAACTTGCACATTTTGCAGCAATAAGGCAAGCCTAAGAACGGAAGAAACCACTTACACATAGAAAAAGTGTAGTCTCGAGTGCACAAAGAACTTCACAGTGGGGCCACAAAGCCCTCAAAATAAGCAAATGGCCAAGCACATCGTGGTGTGGTGACTCAGATGAAGTACCTGGGAGCCAAGGCACGAAAAGTGTCCTGAGTTTGAGGCCAGCCTGGTCTACAGAGTGAGATTCTGCCTCCAAACACCCACCACAAGGCACAGAGAGATACCAGTTCTTACTTCATAGCCTTTAGTGTAGCTGCTAAAAAACAAGAAGTAATGAACGTTAACAAAGATAGGCAGTTGGACTATTTTTGTACTGGTATAGGTGTTTAAAATGGTACAGCTGGGGCTGGAGAGATGGCTCAGAGGTCAAGAGCACTGGCTGTTCTTCCAAAGGTCCTGAGTTCAATTCCCAGCAACCACATGGTGGCTCACAACCACCTGTAATGAGGTCTGGTGCCCTCTTCTGGCCTGCAGAGATACACACAGACAGAATATTGTATATATAATAAATAAATATTAAAAAAAATGGTACAGCTGATAGAAACAGAATTCGGCTCTTGGGTATATATCTGAAACATTTGAAATCAGGGACTCAAATGGGTATTTGTGTCCTTGGGAACAGAATTCATAGTAACAGTTGGGAAAGTAACACTAGTATCTGTGACTGAATGTATAGAATACAGTATTTATATATAATGAACTAGTATTTAACCTTACAAAGGAAATAATAGCAAGTACTTTGCCCAGAGAGAAAGTACAATGGTGGTTGCCAAAAGCTGCCAGGGAGATAGATAATGGGGAATTACTGTCTAATAAAAAATTTCCCTTTTGACAAGATAAAGTGGTAGAGATTGCATAGTAAGGGCCAGTGCTTAATGCTCTTGAACTATACGCTTTGTATAATTAGGTCAGAGGCTGGCCCTCAACTGCTATGTGGGCGGTTTATTTTATTTGTTTGAAAGAACTGCTTCTAGCCAATGGAGGTGTTCATGTGTGTATGAAATTGAGTGTTATCATTACAGGCTAAATCCATGAGAAATTTCTCCATTTTTTTTCAAGACAGGGTTTCTCTATAACCCTATAGCCGTCCTTGGAGCTAGCTCTGTAAACCAGGTTGGCCTTGAACTCTCCCTGCCTCTGCAGGTGCCACCACTGCCCAGCTGTTTGGGCATGGAAAGAGGTGTGGGCGGAGACAAAAGAGTATACTAGAGGGATGACTAAAGCAGTGTACAATGATATACATAAATTAAATTATAATGAAACCTATTAAAGTTTTTAAACACTAAAACTTTAAAAAAAAAAAAACTATGTAGATAAGGTGTTTACACCTGTAAGCCTCTAAGCCTAGCCCTCCAGACGCAGCGGCAAGAGGATCAGGAGTTCAAGGTCATCCTGATCAACCCCGGGGGTGGGCAGGAAAGAGTGTGTGAGACAGAGTAAGAGTGAGAGAACTGATAGTTTGTTGCCTCTCTTTTCTTCTTAGGATTTTTTCTTTCCTGGATGTTGTTACCTTGTGTCGCTGTGCTCAGGTCTCCAGGGTAAGATGGCTGGCTCGGTTAGAGGGACTTTTCCTGGCTCTGAGGCTGATAGCTTCTGGAGCTGACTGATATTTTAGGTGTTATTTGTATATTCTACAGAAGATACTATTTTACTCCAAGTAAGCCATCTGTCCCATATGGTTCTATGATGGCTTCTGTTTTATGTATTATTCCTAACATTTATATATTATAAACATTGAAAGCATTGACTCAGCTAATGATAACAAAGCTTGATTCAACAATATGTAGCAAAATTGTAATTTCCTGTTTTTATAGTTCTTTTTACAATGGCACATAGACATGCATACGTCTATATTAGACTCTTGAACATCTAATTCTTGTTATCTCCACATAGTCTTTCTTCCAAACATGACAGGAAAGGAGGCAAAAGCTCTAGAGTAGACCAGCATTCTTGAGGATCCCATAAAATACTGTTTCTGTGTTAGGTGGGCGCAGGTGTCTTCTTCAACCACCAGTGTAATCCTGCTGCCACTCTATACGGAAATCAAACCTTAGTGTGGAAGTTTCCCCTAATTTCTCCATCCTGATAGCCATACTTATTTGCATACCATTTTGGAAATCATCAGCAGTGTTGTGCAGCTTTATGCTGTGTGGTCTGCAAGTGCAAGCATTGTTCTTACAAGTGAGCAATTTCTCTTTCTGACTCCATGTGTGTGAGCTGAAGTCATCATCCAAGGTGCTCACAAGAGTTTTAACTGGTTTTCTTTTAAGGAAAGAAGGGAACTGCGCCAAATGTCATTAAGTCCGGACATTGGTGTCTGTTGTTCTCGGGAGTTAGGGATTGTTTTGGGGGAAGGTGTCTGCTCTTGCAGTGCTGGGGAGCGTCCAGTGCCTGGCGTACACTGGGCCAGGCCTAACCCCGAGCCATGCTGCCAACACTTTGAGGGTTTTCTGTTTTGTTTTGTTTTTTTAACGCAGACTCTAGGGAGGAACCTGTCATTCCTAATTTTAGGCTGAGTTCTGCATGCTTCCTGCTCCCTGAAGAACCTGGCAAGGACTAGCACACAATCAGAGATATATTTAGTTCAAGAATCTCTTAAACATGTGGTTTTTAAGAGTTTTATTTGTTTCTTCTGTAGCTAGCTATTTAAAAGAAAGAACGAAACAAAACAAACAAACCACTGGAAAAATGTGTAGCCACAAAGAGAGAAGTGACGTTGGCCACGTGAGAACCTGACCTAGTTTTAGAATAGCTTCTTGCTTACTGCCACGCCCCAACATGTTTCTAATGACCTTATGGTGGTTACCCTTGGTTTCTCAGAATATCTAGAATTAGATTTTGAAAATTTTAAACAAAAGTGAGACATGGTAGCCCAAGCTCTTAACACTTGGGAGGCAGAGTTCAAGGTCACCCAGGGCTATACAATGAGACCTGGTATCAAAATAAAATTGTTTCTCAGAAAAATGGCTGTAAATATAACCTACATTAAATTGCTTCTCAAATTTGTCATAATAAAGAATATTCTAAAGCTGGGTGGTGGTGCCACATGTCTTTAATCCTAGCATTTGAGAGGCAGAGACAGATGGGTCTCTCTGAATTCAAGGCTAGCCTGGTTTACAGAGTGAGTTCCAGGACGCCCAGAGCTATACAGAGAAACCCAGTCTCAAAAAATAATAATAAATAAATAAATAAATAAATATAAAGGAAGGATACCTTAGAGTTAGAGCTGGCTATAGTGGCTCATACCTTTAACCCTGGTACTTGAGTATCTTGGGTTGGAGGACACTCCTGGGCTGCATAGTGAGACCTTGTCTCAGACACACACACACAATAGACTGTACATTTTTGTTCTGAACAGTACTTGGCTTTTGTTATTTAATTAGGGGAAGCTTTTAAAATCTTTAAAATACCAAGTGATCCACAACAAATTATCTCTTACTGAAATCATTTCTCACCCAAACCTGAATGCTGAAAAGATGAACAAATGTTCTTGCCGCCTCTAGTATACGAGATGATGTTGCTGAGTCAAGTCAGACAGGATATTGATTAATTATAAAGCATACCTGCGTGAGAACATTGATGATAAGGAAAAGACAATTAGAGAGAAAGACTGTGTCCCAGGCTCACCGCCACTACCCCAGCACCGCACCACTGTGCTGCAAGTGCTCACAGATGTTATTGGGGGGACTGAGGGAGGTTTTGGTCAGTCTCAGTTACTTGTTAGTTGAAGTGTGAATTTAAACATTGCCAGTTTCTGTTTTCATTTCGAGCTCTGCTCATTCTTTCTCTTTTTATTCAAATTAGGCCTGGAACGTCCTGGCTCTGGATGGCAGTAACTGGCAGCGAATTGACCTGTTTGATTTCCAGAGGGATATTGAGGTATAATTACGTGGTGTGTGGCCCCATTTATTTCATTAGTAGTTACAGTATTAATCCTAGACATACTAATCTTTTTTTTTTCACTGAAGAAATTATTTTTGGTACAGCTGAATTTCACGAAAGCCTCCAGTGTCCTCCGGATTTTCTGAAGTAGACATGGTGACACTGGTTTAAGTTTCAGCAGTCAGGCGGATCAGGATGGGTCGGCGGCCATTCTGGCTGCACAGTGAGCCTGTGCCTCCAAACATGCAACAGCTTGTTTGGGAAGAGAGTACAAGGATTCGAACCCAGGGCCTCGTGCATGATGGGCCACACTTTTCCCAATGACTCGTTTTTATGCCCCTAATTTTCTTCTTATTTCCTTGATACAATGCTAAGTTCTTTAGTAACTTTAGTCCTGAACTGAGACCACCAGGTTTTATTTTGTAGTTTGTGTGTTTGCTCATGTAAAGCAAGTTATTTTATGTTAATTTTATACAGTCAGGAGGCTTAAACTCGCTGGCTGATACTTGTGTTTATTCTTCATGTGTATTTTGATTCTTAGGGGAACAAAAGTGGAAATAGTTTCTATGGAAAATATAGAATGGTTAAAACTAGAATTATTAAATTGTTTTTAACTAACGAGAGGTGATTTTCTTGCATGTCGGTTTACTTTTTCATTTAATTTTTAGTATGGCCTGTTAACTCTAAATAGAAAAGTATAACCGCATCCAGGCAAGCACATGCCTATAATCCCAGCACTTAGATAGGAGCCCGGAAGAGCTGAAAGACGTTCAAGGTCAGGGTGGGAGATGGCTCAGTAGATAAAGTCCTTAAGCTTGCTGGCTAGCCACTGTACCATAGTGGAAACTCCAGGTTCAGGAGAAGCCCTATTTCAAAAAATAGAATGAAGAAACAGTTAGAGATGAAGGCCTGTTTACATATGCACAGACCACACAGTTCAAGTTCATCCTCAGCTGCATAGTGATCACACACACCAGCCTTGAGTACAGGAGATGTGTCTCAAAATCAATAACAGTGGGGCTGAAAAGATGACTTGATTGCGGAAGTCACAAAATAATCCCACACTACTTCAGAATTATGAATAATAAAGGGTTACTTATTTAGGGGAGACTTAAAGATCACTGTCCTAGATAACAGTCCTCTGCACCAACAGGGAACAGAAACAGAGTCTAGCAGCCGGAAGTGAGAGCCAGAAGCAAGAGAGTGAGCACAGGCTTTACAGCTGCATTTATAATATAAGAGACCATGCCCAAGTGGGCTCATCAGATAAGAGCACTGGCTGCTCCTCTAGAGGACCCTTAGCACCCACATGGTATAGCTCACAACCCTCTTTAACCCAGTTCAGTTAATCAATCTCCCTCTTCTGGCCTCCACAGGCACTGTACTGCACACGTGTGATACACTGCATACGTGCAATACACAGGCATACATGCAACCAGAATCCATGCACATAAAATTAAAAAAAAAACCAACCCGCTAACATTATATGGTGCATTTACACCACAATTCTCATCTTGTAGATATATATGCTTTAAAAACCTGACCCACGCTGGGCGATGGTGGCCAAAGCCACAGAGAAACCCTGTCTCGAAAAACCAAAAAAAAAAAAACAAAAAAAAAAAACACCTGACCCACAGAATCATTCAGCAAGATGGTTCCTGCTCACTGAGCTCTTGCTATGTGCAAAGCTTTATGGTGAGTCCTTGTGGAGGACAGAGAAGTAAGTGTGGAAGGTGCTCCTCCTCCATGTCTGTATTTACCCCAAGTGGGCCACATGCGTGCATATAGAGCTCCAGAGCTCCGCAAGAACTGGATGGCACCGGTCCTCGAGTGCAGGCTGTCCTAGTTGAACAAGGGAAGGATATAGACTGCTTGTGTTGAGTAGAAGGATTAATCAGAAAGACTTTCTCAGAAGAAGTTGAAATTTTCATAGGAAGAAACTTCTTACAAGCCTTTTCTGTTTATAAATCATTTTAAAAAAAAAGTATGTGTTCTTGTCAAAAGAGTAACATAGGCCATCTTTTTGCTTAACTGTCTCTTTATAGGGTCGGGTAGTAGAAAATATTTCAAAACGATGTGGAGGCTTTTTACGAAAATTAAGTCTTCGTGGGTGTCTTGGAGTAGGAGATAATGCATTAAGGTAAGAAAATATAACTGTTTCAAAAATAACTTTCAACCTCTTAGATTGAAGTGAAGACAGTACCATCTCACTCAGAAAGGCTAAAGTAGCTTTTAAGTTTCTAAGCTGTTAAAAATGTAAGCATATACATTAGTTATAACAAAATATCTGATAGGAAGTGAGGACCCAGGTGTAGTAGTGTCCTCTAGAGTTAGCATGTTCGGGAAGGAGACTCTGGGTTTGAGTCAGCCTGTGCTACACAGCAGGTAGAATAGAAAAGATGTCTACATAAAAACAGTCGTTTTTTTAGGCTTTAATCCCAGAAAGGTTAAGGCAGAAGGATTGCAAGTTCAAGGCCAACCAGGGCTCTGCAGTGAGACCCTTCTGAGAATACTAAAAAAAGAAACATTTACAGCTTTAAAGAGCTTTTTTTTTTTAAGATTTATTTATTTATTTTGTATACAGTGTTCTGTCTACATGTATGCCTGCAGGCCAGAAGAGGGCACCAGATCTCACTACAGATGATTGTGAGCCACCATGTGGTTGCTGGGAATTGATTGAACTCAGGACCTTTGGAAGAACAATCAGTGCTCTTAACCTCTGAGCCATCTCTTCAGCCCCTTAAAGAGCATTTTGTTGTGGGAAATTAATTTTCTTCTTATTCATACCCCACACAACAGATGTATAATTTGTTTTTCCTCTGCCCAGCATCCAGTTCATTGATTTTGCAGATACTGGATGTTTCCATTCAACTTGGGCACTTAACTGTCTAGTTAGATCTGCCTCAGTAGTCAGTCTCTGCAGGAGATTCCAGTCGGAAGTCGCACGCACATAACTGTGTACAAATCAGGTGTTCATGACGCGTCTCAGATTTGCTAGTTTGCTAGAATGAGTCCCATAATTGAGGAACATCAGGTTCGATTGGGTTCCATTATAAAGTGCATGAATGAGTAGCCGTAGGAAGTGCTACACGGGGCAAGGTTTAGACGGGACAGGACCACAGGAACATCTGTCGTTCTGGAGCTGGGGCCCGCCACCCTCTCCGCACAGCCACCCAGAAGTTCTGGTCCCGTTTTCAGTGGCTTTATGGAGGTGTATTACAAAGAGATAAATAACCAATATGAGAGCAAATGCTACTTCTCTGACCTGTTACTCAGGAAACTGCAAGGGGCTTAAGACCTGTATCCTAGAAGCTAGGAGTGAAAACCAAGTGTGTATTTTGCATATTACGGCATCATGGGTGCCAACAACCTGTATTGCCAGTGGTGATGCCTTTTTATATCTAGAGTTTTGCTCATCTTATTTATAACTTTAATTTTTCTTTCCCTATAAAGGACTTTTGCCCAAAATTGTAGGAATATTGAAGTACTGAATCTAAATGGGTGTACAAAGACAACAGACGCGTAAGTATTGAGTTTCAGAGGGTGCACCATACATAGTCCGTAGTCTGTCCTATTCTAGCTGTGACTGGCTGTAGGCATTGATTCGTTTTCTTGACTGTGAATGAGTTTTTGTTGGACTTACGATGCTAGGGATGAACCCAGGGCCTTGCAGTGTAGCTCTACGCCGTGTCCCTAGTCCAAGAAGAATCTTAAAAAGAAAAGGTTATTGAAAGTAGGAGTGAAGCTTATTGTGAACCCATCTTTGATACTTAAAATGCAACTTGAAACTGCAGTTAATGTACGGACTGTAGGGCTAATTATCAAAAGACACAGTAGATAATTCTATAAAAAGATTAAAATCATAAACACAGACTTAAACAGCTAATAAATTTAAAAGAAAATGTCTGTGGGGGTGAAGAGATGGCTCAGCGGTAAGAGCACTGACTGTTCTCCAGAGGACCCTGGTTCTGTTCCCAGCACTCACATGGCAGCTCACAATGTCTGTAACTCCAGTTCCAGGGTGATCTCACAGATGACACCTTCACACCAGTGCATATAAAGTTAAAAATCATAAAGAAAATTCTAAAAAAGAAAAGAAAATGACTGTGCCTGTCATTCACGATATAAAAAAAGTTGATATAGTATAGAATATTATATTTTCTATAATATTATAGAATATTATAGTCACAATAGAATGCACAAGCAGACAGAAAAGCTTCCTCTGAGGGGTACCCTTTGGTAGTAATGCAAATCAAACCTCCCTTGAACACAGTGTAGAGATGTTGTGAGGTGAAGCCATGGAAGTGTGTTGACAGTTATGAACTCGGTGGGTTACGGAGTTCCCATTCAAAATGTACTCCTGCAAAGATGAATCTTTGAAGCTCCTTGAGAAGTAGACGCCCAGAGCACAGAATGTGTGTTTTGTGTTTTAGTCTTCTTCTCTGAGGTCACACTGTTGATTCTTTTACTATAAGAAGTGGGCTGGGGACCTGGGTAACAGCTCGTGGGAGACTGAAGCAGGAGGACTAGTTTGAGGCTGAGGCCAGCCAGGCTACCGAGAGACCCTGTCTCAAAAACATGAAAAAAGGGCTGGCGAGATGGCTCAGTGGTTAAGAGCATTACCTGCTCGTCTAAAGGTCCTGAGTTCAATTCCCAGCAACCACATGGTGGCTTACAACAATCTGTAATGAGATCTGGTGCCCTCTTCTGGCCTGCAGGCATGCATGTAGGTAGAATACTATATACACAATAAATAAATAAATCTTTAAAAAAAAAAAAAACATGAAAAAGACTGAGATAAGAACACTTACCTAGAATCTGTAAGGCCTTGAGTTTGATCTCAGTACCACCAAACACAGAGTAAAACAATTACAAAGCTCTACGGTGGATTATATGCTGCATGCCTCAGGCCTGGGTTTGGTCCCTAGCACTGCACTGAGTTTTATTAAGTATTATTTCTAAACTGATTGGGGTTTTTCAGAAAACTTAAGTTTTTTTTTTCCTTTAAGATTAATTTATTATGCTTTTCTGCTTGCATGTATGCAGAGTTAGGAGAATCTCCAGCCTATGAAATCCTGTCTCAAAAACAAATGCATGATAGGAAAAAGTTACATGTCTGTAACCCCAGTGCTTGATTTTGGGAAATAGAACGTGAATCATGAGTTCAAGACCAGCCTCTGCTACATAGTGAGTTCCAGGCCAGACATTTGTTTCACTATATGTCTCAAGTGAAACAAAAATGGGGTGGAGGAGGAATAGGTCTCATAGCAGTTCCTAGAAACCAAAAGCAAATAAGTACTGAAACTCAAGTTGAATTCTAACCCATGCTGGTAAAGAAACTACCTCTGCTGACTTCCGTTCAGTGCAGGAGGTAGAGCCCATGGCCTAGCGTGCTTCTCATGAATACAGACCCCATGACCCAGCTTCAGTTGTTAACATTTGTGGACATTCTTGTCCATTGACCCCGCTTACTGATTTATCCTCTATGATTTTGTCATTATTTGAAAGTCCTAGACATGGCATCTTATCTATAAATACTAGTACTAAACATCAAACACAAAGCCTTGTGCATGTTAAGCAAACTACCATTTAGCTAAAACCCTCGCTTCGAGTCTGTGAGATTCTTGCCCCGGCCTCTTGGCCCACCAACTCTGAGAGAAGCTCTAAATAATCTCTAAACAAGGCAGATTATAAAAACCAACATGGGTGGGCTTACTTCATTTACCAATGAAATGACACTGAGGAGAGCTGGGCTCTTAGCTGAAGCTGTGGCTGAGTAAGGGCTGAGTAGAAACACCAGCAGCCTCAAGGGTCTGGATGAGACTCTAGATCACACTAAACAAATAACAAACCTCCCTTGGGAAAAATAGAATTCAGTCAGGAGGTGTGCTAGAATCCCAGCACTTTGGGAAGTAGAGGTGAGAGGTTCTGGAGGTGAAGGCCAGGCTAGACCACTTTGATCCTTTATTGGAAACATGAAAGAGGACCTGGTGTTCATCTCGTCTTGGAGTGACCACCATGTACGAATCCTTGTATTCAATCTCTGGCAACACACATACAAAAAAAAATTATAAAGATGGGTGGCTAGGCATGGTCATTAATGCTTTAATCCCAGCACTCAGAGGCAGAAGCAAGCAGGTCTCTATGAGCTGGAGTCTAGCCTGATCTGTGTAGCAAGATCTAAGCCCCGAAGGGCTACATAGTAAGACACTGTCCCTCCAAAATATACATAAACAAAAGAATGGAAAATGTTGTCTCTGCTTACAGAATGTTCTACCCAGTAATTGGAGAATACACATGGTTTTCTGTCACACTTAGAGCATAGTCCTGAGTAGACCATAGTCCGGTGACTAAACAAGATTAATAAATAACGAACAGTGTTCTCTCCACAACTAGAGAGCTAAACTAGAGGTCTTCAACAGACGAAAAAACTCTCAAGTCTTTTGAGTAGAATGGAAATAAGCCAGGCATAAAGATTCCTTACCTATTGTCTTTGCACTTGGGAGGCTGAGGCAGGAGTATTTCCTTGAGTTTCAGAACAGCTTTGGGTATAGTGATTACCCAGCTTGTATAAGTCCATGAAACTATCTCAAAATAGAAAAATTAAATGTAACTTCACATATCATAAAAGGGTCATTTTCTTTTAACAGAATAAGCATAAAAATATAAAACCAAGCCAGGCACGGTGGCTTTAATTCCAACACTTGGGAGGCAGAGACAGACAGATCTCTTGAGTTTGAGGACAGCCTGGTCTATAGAGTGAGTTCCTAGGCAGCCAGGACTATGTAGAGAAATCCTGTTTCTTTTTTTTTTTTTTTAAACCAACAACAACAAAACCATGCAACCATTCTTAATTTGTGAATAGTCTTAGGAGACTTTAAGGAGGCATCAATGCAAAATAACTGAATTGTTTACTCACAGAAACTGAAAGAAATTTTTCACTATTTTAAGTGATTAATTTTAGGGAATTTCCCCAGTTTATGCATGGCTAACAAGGGAGTGCACACTGGCACCCAGGGTTGAGGTAGGAGAATTAAGGCACTCTGTGCTCCATGGCGAGTACCAGGCTGTCCAAAGCTATGTAATTCAAACAAGCCTACATGGGAAACTAAGGTAGGAGGAAGGAAAGTTCAGGTCTCACGTAGGGTGCAGAGTGAGTTCAAGGTCAAATTGAGTAAAGTGAGTAGCTCAGTGGTACTCTCACAAAAAAATAAAATATTTAGATATATGAAAGACACAAATCAGTGATAGAACATCACCCTCTCAATGTAAGACCCTCCGTGTAATCTCCAGTACAGATGTGCTATTGCCTTAACTCTCTGTAGCCCAGTCTAGCCCAAAACCCTTTGTCTGGGATGATGGGTGTGGGCAATGTTGGGGGTGTTCGGCTCCTAGCACCACATCCAGCTCCAGGAGATCTGTTGCCTCACACACATGCACACGTAATTCCGAGTTGGTCGTGTACACCTGAAACCATAGCACTTGGAGAGCCAAAGGTAAAAGGGGTCAGGAGAGCAAGGCCAGCTAGCCTCAACTATGTAAGATGCTAAAGTTATTTTGCCATGTGTGGTGATTCATGTCAGTGCAGACAAGGCAGGTGAATATCTAGATTCAAGGCCTGCCTGGTCTTCATAGTAAGTTCCAAGATAGCCAGGGCTACACAGAGAGCATAGAGAAATTGATCTTTTGTTTGTTTTGATACAGGATTTCTCTGTGTCGCTTTTGGAGCCTGTTCTGGAACTCACTCTGTAGGCTACGCTGGCTTCGAACTCACAGATATTCACCTGCCTCTGCCTCCCAAGTGCTGTAATTAAAGGTGTGCGCCACCACTGTCTGGCAGGGTGTGGTGGTGCACTCAGGAGACTGAGGCCAGCCTGTTCTACAGAGCAAGTTCCAGGACAGCTAAAGATACACAGAGAAACACTCAAAAAACAAAACAAACAACAATAATAATCCTCTAGTTAGAAGATCAGTATTCAAAAATATCTGTTTCTATACATTAGTGACACAAAGAAAAAATGAAATTTAAGAAAAATTTCAAGTCAGGAAATATAAAACACATAGGAGGTTGGAGATGAGATCAGGAAATGAAGACAATCCTTGGTGGCATAGTGAGTTTGAAGCCAACCTGTGCTACATGAGACCCTGATGTCTCAAGCAAAAAAACAGATTTTGAGAGATTACTCAGTACTGACACTTGAGTTCAGTTCCCCAGAACCCAAATTAAAAAGCTAGCTGTGAGGGCTGGAGAGATGGCTCAGTGGTTAAGAGCATTGCCTGCCCTTCCAAAGGTCCTGAGTTCAATTCCCAGCAACTACATGGTGGCTCACAACCATCTGTACTGAGGTCTGGTGCTCTCAGACATATACACAGACAGAATATTGTATGCATAATAAATAAATAAATAAATATTTTTTAAAAAAGCTAGCTGTGATCCCAGCACTCAGAAGGCAGAGGCAGGTGGATCTCTGTGAGTTTGAGGCCAGCCTGGTCTACAAGAGCTAGTTCCAGGACATGCACCAAAAGCTACAGAGAAACCCTGTCTCAAAAATCCAAAAAAAGGCTGTGGTGGCACACGCTTGTAAAGAGACACACAGATCCCTGGTCTCGTGGCCAGCTTAGTCTCCTGGGTGTGCTCCTGGCCAGTGAGAAGTTTTGTGCCAAGAAAGGGCACTGAAGAAGAGCACGCAAGGTCCTGTGGCCACATCTGTACACGGGCACACACAGAGGCAAACTTCACGAAGATTTAGCTTAATAACTTCAAAAGGAATCAGTATTTACAAATAAATGCAGTGAAGGGTGTACCAGTCCTGTACACTGAAAACTACCAGACTCGACTAAGAGAAAGCAAAGACAGCTTAAAACGGAGGAGCAGTTCAGACTCAAGTTTGGAATACACATCGGCAAGATGGAGTTCCATGCAGTTCCCAAAGCAGGCTTTTTGTTGTTGTTGTTGTTGTTACAGTTCTGATACATGCATATTTGCTAACAAGGGGTGTGATGCAGCAGAATTGAAGTTTATTATTTTTGTGTGACTGTTAGTGCAGCCACACAATTACAACATCACAGGAATGAGGTCAGAGGACAACTTTTGGGAGGGTCTTCCACTGTGGGACCTTGGGACTGAACCCAAATCGTTCAGGTTGCGTGGCAAGTGCTTTTACCCACTGAGCCGTCTTAGTACCCAGGTTGCTTTATTTTTAATGTGTATTCATTATTTTTTTTCTGTTTGCAGTACCTGTACTAGCCTTAGCAAGTTCTGCTCCAAACTCAGGCACCTCGACTTGGCTTCCTGTACATCAATAACAAACATGTCTCTCAAAGCTCTGAGGTAAACTTCCTGTAACACTATGCCTATTAATACATACTTTGAAAAAATAACTGATGATACAGTTGGAACTAAGACAGCATTGTTTTATGGATGTGTACTGTAGTCCCCAGGAGACCTTTTCTCTTGCCCCTGCTCACTTTAAATCACCGGTACATTAATATGAAGTTCAGAGGTAACTAGGGATTTTGAACAGAGCAGTATGGGTTATCCATTAGTAAGCAGACACTCATAGAGGACTGCTTTCTAAAAAAAAAGAAAGAAAGAAAGAAAATGCCATGTGTTTTTCCAGCTTACTGGTTAAAATGGAGTCTGGAGCCAGGTTGTCTTAACAGCTGTGGCTGAACATGGCCTGAAAAGCTTTTCCTTGTAATCTTGTAGCATTGTTATGAGAATTACATGAGATACTGTCAGCCTGCACTGTAGAAAGTAGTGGTGCCTGTATTCAGGGTGGGCTTGAAGACTTTCAACCACACACAGATAAAGTACTTTCAAATCTGCCTTGCCGGCTGGAGAAACAACTCAGCAATTAAGAGCACTGGCTGCTTTTCTATAGGTCCTGAATTCAATTCCCAGCAACCACATGGTGGCTCACAACCATCTATAATGGGATCTGATGCCATCTTCTGGCATACAGACAGAACACTCAGACTAGAGAAGAAAGAGAGAGGGAGGGAGGGAGGGAGGGAGGGACACCTGCCTCAGTGCTCATTGTTTGAGCGTTCTCATATTGTCTGAGTACTGTAAAGGTGGAGGTTGTTCGCACCAGTAATCCCAGCACAGGGAAGGCTAGGGCAGGAGGATCCTTAGTTGAAGGCCACTCTGGACTTCACAGTGAGACTGAGTCTAGAAAACAGACTATTTATGGAAGGTTTGCAGAAGGTTCACAATTGAACCTAGGGGTTTACACAGGCAAAGCAAGTGTTGTCACCAAGCTCAGTGCCCAGCCTCTCTTTTCCTTCAGACAGGTCCTTGCCAGGTCTCCCTGGATCTCAGAGATAAACTTGCCTGCGTGTCCAGAAGTCTCTGGGGTTCTTTGGTTTGGTTTTGTCTTTTAGTTTTTAGATAGTGTCTATGTAGACCAGGCTGGCCTTGGATTTATGATCCTCCTGCCTCAGCCTCTCAAGTAGCTGCCAGACCTGACATAGAAAAAAAAATTAAGCTAGCATGTAATATATTCTAAGCTAGCCTTGAACTTGCCTTCAGTTCCCAAATAAAATGTATTTTAAAAGAGTGGAATACTCATTCCCTTTGGAAATCTACTTTTTAACTAGACTTTCCTTAGTAATTAGGGTTCTTTGTGTTGCTTCTGCTTACACACATTGAAAGGAAAGCCGGGCCAGGGCTATGGTGGCGCACACCTTTAATCCTAGCACTTGGGATGCAAAGGCAGGCAGATCTGTGAGTTCGAGGCCAGCCTGGTCTACAGAATGAGTTCAGGACAGCCAGAACTCCAGTGTAGAAAAATGCAACAACAAAAACAAAATTAAAGTGGTAGCCACACTCTTTATTATTATGGTACTGCGTACCTGCAATCGCAGCATTAAGGAAGCTGAGGCCTGAGACTTACTGCACATTCAAGCTCAGTCCAGGCTACATAGTATTAAGCAAGACCCTATCTCAGAATGAGAGAAAGAATTAGAGAGTGTAAGTGACATAAAACATGGCTCCTTTTGGAACTTCCTCATGAATACAATGAATCTAAAGCTGCTTGCCATGTAAGGCCATAAATGTGGTGACCCTTGACATTTATAAGGTACTTTCCTACAAATGACCTCACTTATTTATCTTATGCAGTAGATAGGACAAGCGTGTGTAGATTTAAAAAAAAAATCGAAAAGGTTCTGGGTACTACTGAAGTAGCCATGAAATGTCTTAAGATGCTGTGCCCATCAGTTTCACGGAACCTGTGGGTGGAAAGAGACTTGTAAGTGTACATTGTATTACCGTGCTAGCGGGTGATAGGCATGAGGGTCTCAGTCTGGGCAAACTGGGGACAGGATGTGACTAATCAGACAAACTTCTTAAAGTGACTTGCCTGGAATCAGACGATTTATGTTGAAGATGAGCTTAAACCTAGATCTCCTGACTTTATTTAAGGACTTTTCTATAAGCAGGAATAGGAATAATAAGGAACTTAGAACCATTCAAGCAGTGTTTGCAGCGATAGATTTAAAATCCTTCAGTATTTCATGTGGAGTACACTGAGAGATTCAGAGGAGAAGCTAGTGTATAGTGTATTCTGGAGAAAGGTTGAACATGATCTAGCCTTACTTCGGCCTGCGGAAACAGTACTCTATAGAAATGTCCCAGATAAGGAAATATATAGAGCCTTTCTGATTTTTTTTTAAATAAAAGTTTAGTACCAGTAAAATTCCTTGATGGAAAAATCTGAGCTTGACTCTGAACTGTCTTTAGTTACTCTGTAAAGTTAAACTAGTCATTTAATTTCCATTTCCAGTCTGTACCTGGAAAACAGTCTGTGCTTTGTGCTTGTTGGTAAACTGGATTTCAGGTTCCCTGCCGAGTGACACAGTCCGTGTGAACACCGCAATGGAAGAGGAGGTCGTGACACTTTTGTCTTGTTTGTTTTATCCTAAGTGAGGGCTGTCCACTGTTGGAGCAATTGAACATTTCCTGGTGTGACCAAGTAACCAAGGATGGCATTCAAGCACTAGTGAGAGGCTGTGGGGGTCTCAAGGCCTTGTTCTTAAAAGGCTGCACACAGGTAATGCTCCGTGGATGGCTTGTGAAAGTGAGGGTTTGTGAGCTCTTTGGAGTGACTGTGAAGACACATCTCAGAGCTGAAGAATGGGAAGAACTGATACCCGACCAAAGTGTAAATGGGGCAGAAGGGACAAGGTGGAGAGACACTCATGCAGAGCCGCTTGTCTGCACTAAAGAGAAAGTCTCTTTAGAGCTGCTTAGGCAAAAAGGGCAATCTTGTCACCAGCAGGAACTGTCCATGGTGTGCCAGGTACACAGCAGCTGCATCTTACCTCCTGCTGTAACGCCACAGGATAGCGCTTCTTTTCATTAAATTCTCAAACCCAGGTGTGCTGGTACACCCCTTAATCCTAGCATTTGAGAGGCTGAGACAGGAGGATCCCTGTGAGTTCAAAGCCAGCCTAGGCTACATCATAAGACTCTGTTTCCAAAAAAAAAAAAAAAAAAAAAAAAAGAAGTGATATTAAAAACAAATAAGACTCCGTTTCCTTGGGTAATGAAAAGAAGAGGAAATAAACTGGTCAGGTAGCGTTAGAAATGATTGGAGAGTAGTGGAGTTAGATGTGCCTGGCGTTTACCAGGGATTGCTAACGATATACTGTGGATTCCATTAAAAATGCCCTCAGTTTTACCATAATAGGAAGCATTCCTTTGTTGTAGCAGAACTCTGGATATACGATTGCCTTAAACAGCAGCTGAGCTTCTGGTTATTTGTGGAATCCTGAAAAATATTGATTGGGATGTATCACTGTGACCCAGCGCTGCTCAGTAGCAGATAGACTCTGGCAAGTCCTTTCTCAGCTTCTTTTCCCGAAAACCCTTAAACGACAGCACAGACTCTGTATGGGTTGTAATATAAGCACGAGAAAATTGCTTTGCCTTTATAATCTTTTCACAACTTATTATAAATATTTAATTTGTTAGAAATAAAGCACATATCCAGACATGATGACTCAAGCTTGTAGTCCCAGCACTCAGGAGGCAGACACAGGAATAGAGATCACAGCCAACCTGGTCTCTATAGGGAGTCCAGAATAGCCAGGACTACATATTTAGACTCTTTCACAAAAGAGAGAACGAATCCTATCCTTAATCTTTTTCTGGATTTGATAGTAATGATAAGAATTTGGTATGAAAAAAATAACTTCTAAAATCCTGGTAACTATTACTACTAGGAATGAGATGTGATCATGTTTTTGTTTTTAGATTTTGGTTTTGGGGTTTTTTTTTGTGTTTTTTTTTTTTGTGGTTCATTGTTCCTTTGCAACTTGGTAAGCTGTATTGAGAATGTATTGATCACTGGGTAGAGTCTTTTTCTACTTTGAAACAATGTCAGTAATCTCTTATTTTTTCATCTTTCCAGCTAGAAGATGAAGCTCTCAAGTACATAGGTGCACACTGCCCTGAGCTGGTGACTTTGAACTTGCAAACTTGCTTAGTAAGCATCCCTTCCCATAATGCTTCTGTATTAGTAATTTCTCCTAGTAACATTATTACGAAAGTTTCGTCAAAAGCAGTGTCTTACAGGCATGGTGATAGCACTGAAACCCCAGCACTGACTAGATCGGGGCATGAGGATCATGAGTTGGAGGCCAGCATGGATTGTGTAGCAAGGTCTAGACCAGACTAGACTGCATAGTAAACAATTTCAAAGACAGACAGGTGTAATAAATCATACCTGTGATCCCAGCAGTTGAAAGCCTGAAACAGAATCGCCATGAATTCAAAGCAAGCCTGAGTTACAGTGAGATCCGCACAAATGTTTATATATCCTTCCCTTTTTTTTTTTTTTTGGTTTTTCGAGACAGGGTTTCTCTGTGGCTTTGGAGCCTGTCCTGGAACTAGCTCTGTAGACCAGGCTGGTCTCGAACTCACAGAGATCCGCCTGCCTCTGCACTCCCGAGTGCTGGGATTAAAGGCGTGCGCCACCATCGCCGGCTGGCTCCTTCCCTTTTTTATATTTTTTTATTTCAACATAGTTTGATTACATAGCTCGGGATGATCTTGAGCTTATCCTCCTGCCTCGGTCCTTCCAGTGTTAGGGTTACCGGTGTTTGCTCATAAACCAACTCTGACATTTTCAGCTATACTTGAAGTTTGAGGTCAGCCTGGTCGACAGAGTGAGTTCCAGGACAGCCAGGGCTGTTACCCAGAGAAATCATGTCTCAAAAAAGAAAAAAAAATACTGATGTCCTTAACTGTTTTCTAGGTTTTATAACTTTTCAATTACACCTTCACCATAACATTCCCCAAGCTGGTCTAACTCCTCCCCTTCAAACAGAGACACAGAGTCAGCAGGAGCTAGAAGGAGACTGTTGCCTCTAGGTTTGGGGTGGTCTCTGGATGCTCAGGCTGCCTAGATTCTAAGTGTTGCTGCTTCCACAGAAGTATTTTTTGTAAATAATGTATATTGATTTTTTCTCACTTTTGTGTCTGTTTTAGCAAATCACAGATGAAGGTCTCATCACCATATGCAGAGGGTGTCATAAGTTGCAGTCCCTCTGTGCCTCTGGGTGCTCCAATATCACAGATGCCATCCTGAACGCTCTAGGTCAGAACTGCCCTCGTCTTAGGTAAACATTGTTCATTTAGATCAAAAAAATCAAGGGATGAAGAAGCTGCCTTTATCCATGTTTTTCCTTGGAATTTTGAAACTTTAAGGTCACTGCAAGGCCACTATCCTTCTAGCTGGCTATCTACTGGCTTTGTAAGTGACATGAATCAAGAATTGATCTTACTGGTCATATAGGAAAAGTTAGTACTTTCTTAAAATTCCTTTCTCTACTTCTTTGGTTTTTCGAGACAGGGTTTCTCTGTGTAGTCCTGGCTATCCTAGAACTCATCCTGTAGACCAGGCAGGCCTCAAACTCAAGGAGATTGCTTTCTCCACTTTTGAAAGCCCGCCCTGAGGCTATTATGTTGTAATCAATGAAGAAAAACTTTAAACTTCGTTCTGCAGGAGACCCTCCTCTGTTTGCTTATCCTCATTTGTCTATTCGTTTTTATTGAGCTGTACGTTTCTCTCCATTCCCTTCCCTTCCTCCACTCTTCCCCTCGACCCTCCTATTTTTTTATTTTTTTATTTTATTTTTTATTCTCAGACAGGGTCTCTCTAGTATATAGCTCTGGCTGTTAGATAAAGCAGGCTGGCCTCAAATTCGGAGATCTGCCTGCCTCTGCTCCCTGAGTGCTGGGATTAAAGGCGTGTACCACCATGCCTAACCACATTTATCATCTTTTAGAACAGCTACATTATTCTGTAGGTCTTCTCTGCTTGAATATTGGAGTGTCTGGGTGCTGACCCAGTGTTTCCATTCTGATGCACATTGTGTCAGAACTGTGGTCTTCCCGAAGAGCATGCATGATGCCCAGTCACTAACAGTGATAGTTAGGTATTATTTTAGGTGCTTTATGAATACTGATTCTTAACATAATCCTAGAAGAAAAAGCCAGAGTCCAGGGGTGCCATTAAGTGCTTGAGTAAGGATTTCAAGACAGTTCCTCTGGCACAGAGCCCACAAAGGCACTTTCTCACACAGTAACAATTATAAAGTTTCAAATCTAAAGATTTTTTTTTTTTTTTTTTGGATTTTCAAGACAGGGTTTCTCTATAGTTTTTGGTGCCTGTCCTGGAACTAGCTCTGTAGACCAGGCAGGCCTCGAACTCACAAAGATCCACCTGCCTCTGCCTCCCAAGTGCTGGGATTAAAGGCGTGCGCCACCACCGCCCGGCTTCTAAAGACTTTTTTGATGGTTGCCTAGCGGTGGCCTAACTGTGGGTGCTGAAAGTACCTAGGTTATAGTGCCTTCAGTCTGAGAGTAGAGGTCTTCTCTGTGGCTGAGAAATGACCAAACATCCAGAAGACAGTTTGTGTCGGCCTTCTCTGCTTAAAGCCGGGGCTCTTCAGCTCCACCTTCGTGTGTCTGTTCCATTGTGAGAGTTTCCAGAGCGGCTGTGGCCATGTTCACCATGCAGCATTTGTTTCCTCTTACCTGATGATGATTTACTGAGCTCTGATTTACCTTTCGGCTTCAGTTATAAAGATTCTTAAGGGAACGTGACCTTGGCACCATCACATAGCACAGCTGTTACCTGACTTTACACAGAAAAGAGCAGCCTTTGATTTCCCAGGCCTGTGGGTGTGAGGTCAGTGGTCAGCAGCTGGCTGAATAGGAGAGTGGCTGCCATCCTGGCTTTCTTCCGAATGCCCAAGAGACAGGCAGCTTTGAACACAGGACTTCATACCTGGGACAGACCTGTCCTCTCGTCGAGTTTTTAAAGCTCTTGAAATCTGCAGAGACCTACATGAAAGCCAGACTAGTCTACGTCAGCAGCAGATGAGCTGAAGCCGAGTATTTATCTCCGTCTCCTTCTGTTTTCTAGGAGCAGGCTGCCCTCTGGGTAAGCAGTGCGCCATCAAGGAAGCTTTTAATGCAGTTGGTCGTTAACTACAAGCTTCATTTATATTCCTCTGTATTCTTTGATTACATCACCCTGATATGTGGTATTGACAGGACCATTTTATGATAACCACATGAAAACAAACAGCAAGACCTGTGTACAGACTTGTTTAGTTATTAAAGTCACTGCGAATTATAAGCTGTCAGAATAAAAGATGGCTTTCTTAAATTCTTGCTGTTTTAGTAAAACCAGGTTTCATGACCCAAGACCTAACTTTCTTTTCACGTTGTTCTTTGAATAGAATACTGGAAGTGGCCAGATGTTCCCAGTTAACAGATGTGGGCTTCACCACTCTGGCGAGGGTAAGTATTTCCCTAGGTTCTACCTTATGTCCATAGGTCTTCTTGGGGTTTTTTATTTTTGAGGAAGCAGCAAAAAGAGTAGTATAGGTGTGACACCAGGGTTGCGTTCTCTGTGGCTCTCTGAGCCTTCCTGTGCACGAGCTATCGACCTGATGTCCGCAGAAAAGGTGGTCAGCTCTGGACGTGCAGACGTGCACTCTGGTAAGGCTTGAATTTTCGTGTTTTCATGAGGATGGTGAATTGACCCAAGCCGAGGCTTCTGGTATTTCACAAGACTTTGATTTGGTGTGTGATTGAGCAAGAATAATGCTCAGGGGGATACAGGCCTGGTGACTATTACACCGGTCACTAGAGACTTTAATACAGTGGTCTGTACAAATCACTGTAGAAAACCATCGTCTTTGGTGGTGGTTGTTTTGTTTGCGTGGTGAGACAGTGTTTTCCTGTGTAGCTTGCCTGTCCTGGAGCCCAGGTCTTCCCGGCTCGGTAACATTTAAATTAGATTGACTTCTGTCAGTATTAAAGAACAAGGGGGATGTAATTTGCTTTTAGGCCAGTCCATGAAGTACTGATGAGGTGAAAGCCAGCATACCTGGCTAAAATAAGGAATAGAACTTCCTCTCTTCCCCCAAAAAACAATTTTTATTGAGTTATTTTTTAGTTATGAACTATCTCTTTGGCCGGGCAGTGGTGGTCCTCCCCTTTAATCCCAGCCAACCCTCAGGAGACAGAGGCAGGCAGATATCCATGAGTTTGAGGCCAGCCTGGTCTACAAGAGCTAGTTCCAGGACAGCCAGGGCCATTTCATAGAGAAACCCTGTTTCAAAAAACCAAAAATTGAAAATGACACTAGGCTAACAACAACTCTGAAATACCAGACTTGAAAAGTGTGTTTAATACATACAGTCGCTTAGCTGTTTTTGTGGTTTGCAGTGTTTAAAATTTGCACTGAGTTATCTGTCATTGTCCTTTATAGAACTGCCATGAGCTCGAGAAGATGGACCTGGAAGAGTGTGTTCAGGTGAGGGGTTTGTTCTCAGGGACAGTGTGTCTGAATGTCGGACACTGACGTACTTGACAGTGTCATTGATTGTCCAGCCCCCCAGGAAAGTCACTGACCAGGTGCTGCATCGCAGCTACCGTGGACTAGTGGATTAGTATCTCCCGTCCACTCAGCTCGTGTTTGTGCCTCAGCACCCCCTGCATCTTTACTGTGCGAGTCCCTCTGCCCTCACCAGTTCTCTCTCTGCTCTCGGCTGTGTGTAATAGAAGTACAGGTTAGAGAGGAGTTTGAAAAGAGGCAAACTTAGGGTTTATTTCCAGTCCTGGGATCACTCTGAAACATTTTTCTCCTATCACAGTCATAAGCCTCTCAGGTTCCAGAAGGGACTCCAATTGTCCTATGTGGTGGTTTGCCTTAAGGAGGTGTGGGGCCAGATACCTAAAAATTTAAGGGTGCTTTGGTATTAATTTTTAATGGATCATATACTCTGGCTTTTCCCTCTTCTGGTCCAAAGAAAGGACATCATGAAAGTCTGGTGAACAGGAGCTCTAAGAGGACAGATTTTGATTTAGTTTAAAATACTCAGATGGCTAATTAAAATATCACACAATTTGAAAGAAACTGAACAAAATTTTAAACAGTGAACCCAGAAAAGGTTTTTAGAAGCCTCGCAATTTAGGCAAATCTTAGAGAAATATTTTTTTTCAAAAGCAAGGAGTTGTCTGAGTTAGCAACCCCATAATAGTATCAATTACCTTTGGAGTTTGATGTCTATATTGTATATGTGTATTGCACACGCATGTGCACAGTGAGCCACAGAGGCCAGAAGAGGGTGTGTTAGATTCCTGTGAGCTGACTGACTCAAGTGTTGCCGTCTAACCTCCCGTCAGTCCCTGGGATAGAGTCAGCCCTCTGTAGGCTCCTGACCACTGTGTGTTAAAGACGATGTTTGAGAAGCAAATATCTGTAAAGATGGAGATTAGAAAGCCTGGGTGTTTTTGCTTGTCATCTCTGTTTTCTACCAGCTCTAGTAGCTTGGAGCACAAAGCCGAAGGGTGTGTCATTTCATGACACTTGAACTACAGAGCACAGTTCATGAATTGCATCTAAGCTGATAGAATTTTACCCATTTGTTTTTTCAGATCACAGACAGCACATTAATCCAGCTTTCTATACACTGTCCTCGGCTTCAAGTATTGGTGAGTTTTACTTTCACTGTCTTGTATTTTAAATTTATGTATTTATTTATTCAAAAAATTAGATTTATTTACTTTATGTGTATGGATGTTTTGCCTTCACGCATGTTTATGAACCAAGTGAGTACTAGGAATTGAACTCAGGCCCTCTCTAACCTGTTATTGTGGGCACATGTGTGCCATGACGCACATGTGCAGGTCAGAGAACAACCTTCTGGAGCTGATTCCCTTCTGCCACCTCTGCGTGGATCCCAGGGATCAACTCAGGTCACCAGGCTTGGCAAGGTCTTTACCCTCTGAGCCCTCTCACCGTCCCCGCCTTAGCGTGTTCTGTGTTACTGTATCTTACCAGTTACATTGCTAACCATGTGTGATGCTGTGTGTCTGTGCCCAGCACTGGAGGCTGAGGTAGGAGGAGAACCCAGAGTTTGAGGCCATCCTGGGTTATATAGTAATGTGCATTACAAATATAGTAATTTGTAGCGCAAAAACCCAGGATTGAGCCATGTCTTCCAGGAAAGCGCCTCTGACTCTGTAGCAGGTGTTTTGGTTGATGTCTCTGTATCCAGAACAGAATACAGAACACTGTATATTTGGCGAGCCCTATGTTCTCAGTTCCCCAGAACTAGAGTGGAAGGGAAACGGGTCAGATTACGTGTGATGCTAGTTCCTGATAGCTGTAAAGGTCATCCTTAGCTAGTTGTTAATTTGTGCCCTGAGTCAGATACTCAGTATTTAGTTCCGATTTCCTAAAACATTGAATATGAAAAGCATGAGCCCTGTCTTTCCTACAGGTATGAAGTGTTAATTTGGGGAGTGGACTTTTTTTTTTTTTTTTTTTGGGGAGGCACCATGGTCTCACTGTGTAGTCCTGGCTGGCCTGGAATTTCCTGTGCAGACCAGGCTGACCTTGAACTCACAGAGATCCTCCTGCCTCTGCTGGCATTAAAGGGGGTGTACCTGGCTGTCTTATTTCGTGAGGTTGTTCACAATCACTCCATGAATTCACAAAATATATTTAGAATTAGGCTGGAAACAAAAGCCAGTCATACACGTTGAAAGCAGACCGTCAGCTCTGGTCTGCATTCCTGCTTCATCATGAGTGGCTCTAGGTGGCTTTGTAGTCACCAGGATGAACCAGAAGGGTCTGGGTTGGAACTGGACATAAGCCAGAAGATGCCTGGTTGCCATCTTTGCTCTCTGGTTACAGAGTCTCTCTCACTGTGAGCTGGTCACAGATGATGGAATTCGTCACCTGGGGAATGGGGCCTGCGCCCATGACCAGCTGGAGGTGATTGAGCTGGACAACTGCCCTCTAATCACCGATGCATCCCTGGAACACTTGAAGAGCTGTCACAGCCTTGAGCGGATAGAGCTCTATGACTGCCAGCAAATCACACGGGCTGGAATCAAGAGACTCAGGGTAAAGCCGCACTGCTCCTCAGCCCCTCCCCATCTCCTTCTTGTCTCACCTGTTCTTTTTTCAAATTTAGAGTCTCGTGATTTCTTTGTTTTGTTTAATTTTCTTGAATATTTAGCAGAGGAAGAAAAACTAACAACCTAAAAAGACCACATGCCAGAATCTGGTCCTAAAGGAAAGAGAGTATCTGGCAAGGCGTCCTGGTAGTCAGAGGGCTGAGAGCAGTATCAAGTGCAGAGCCATTAGGACTGCGGAGTGAGCTCAGCATCCACGTAGGCTAGGAATGTAGTTTAGGGGTAGAGAGCTTGCCTAACATGTACAGGGAGAGGTGAACACGGAGAAAGAGGGGGAGATAGATATGGAAGATTGGAACATCTCCACACTTGCCGCAAGATAAACACTGTAACGACTACAGCTCCTCTCTCAACAGAGAAAAGGGCTCCTAGAATAGCGGAGACCTTGCATCAACAGGGTGGACAGTCACAGGCTAGCTTGAGCAGTGTTTCCTGGTATCATGTAGCACAGACCGACTTTGATTGAATTCAATGTGTAGTAGAAGATGGCCTTGAACTCATAATTTTCCTGCCTCCTCTTACTTGCTAAGATTAGAGGTCTGTACCTCCAAGCCTGGCTTAGAGCCTCCGCTGTGGCAACCTGTGTGTGGTGCCTGGACCTGACTATTGGGAGGCTCGCCATCTCTGGTTCCGTTTACTGAGCTGAGGGGTCTGTCTAGAGATGATGCTTAGTAAGAACCACACTGCCTTAAGCCTAGTAAGTATTCAGACATAGTAAAGACTAGGAAGACATTTTAATTCAAAAAGTAATCATTTTAAACTTGTCTCGTTTCTTCCAGCTATGGGATTCTAAGTATGAATCTCTCTGGGACAAGGGGAAAGCTTAGAATTGTTTTCATTCCCATCCGCCTCCACAGGGCAGATAGAGCCTGGGGCACCTCGCACCCTAAGTAGCGCTGAGCCAGTCCTGCTCTCCCGCCCTCAGCCCCTTGGCTCCTCTGAGAAACAACATTGCTCCTCTGTCTCAGCACTTTCTGAGTAATGTTTTTGTCTTGTTGCAGACCCACTTACCCAACATTAAAGTCCACGCCTACTTCGCACCTGTCACTCCACCCCCGTCAGTAGGGGGCAGCAGACAGCGCTTCTGCAGGTGCTGCATCATCCTATGACGGTGCAGGCGTCAGCCTCGGTGAACTGAGTATTTAAGGACACTGCTAGACTTGCCGTGGAGTCTCTCCAGTGGAAGCAATCCCAGCATTCTGGGCAGGGTTCCAAAGCGAGGGCAGCGTCCAGATCCCCAGAGCCGCACATACACAGGCACATGCCCTCACCCCATCCGCTGCAGTTCTGTGACTGTGGCACCGAAGTTCATACTGGCTGTAACAAGTGGATTGGTAAAGCCGAACCATTCCCATTGGACATGCCCAGAAGAAATCTTAGGCCATGGTAGAGGGAGGGGACATTCCAGCAAAACCCAGTGTTACTGCTGTGGTTTATTTTATTAAGGGGTTTCTGTGGGGATTTTGAATCAGTAACTGCAATCTTCCAGGGTGAAAGGTAGCATGGAAAAACAATATATGATGTATCCAGGGACCAGAAAGGAAATTTCTTTGCATCCTAGAAATGGTAGCTATCCATTGGGAGATGCTTATGCAACTTCTGTGCTTCCTTGTTTCCATGCCAACATGCTGAGCATGCTCACAAAGAAGGCTCGTCCATTCATCTGGTATTTTAGTATTTGGCCCAGAGGTTTCCTTAGCAGCTATATACTGAAATTGCTGGGGTCCACATGCGATCACTTTTACTTCCCTGCTCAGTTGTCACTCACCGTGCTCTGCTCACTGCTGCACCCTGGCTGTCCGTCCCCGGCCGTAGTCTGCTGCTCACACTCAGTTGTTACTCCTTTGCTGGTTGTTTACAGTTTGCATTTTGGATGATTAGTTGGGGTTACCAAACATTTTTAAAAGAAACATCAATAAATATTTTTTTAATCTAAATTTTACTATTAGGGGACCTGCCTGAATCTTTGCCAGTATAGAAGGAAACTCTAACAAGAGCAGGGAAGTTAGGCTAAGAAAGAGTTGAACTGTTTTGATGAAAAGAAACTCGGCCTTTTGGTTTCTGTTGTGTCTTTGCACGGTGTGCTCAGTGCGCCCTGCACATTTCCCTCTCCCAAACCTGGTGAGCGTATTAAGAAGAGAGAAGTGCACTATTCATGTGGAGTGGGGGGCGAACCCCCACTACCCAAGTGCAGCAGGTCCGGGGTGCGGGGGGCTGTGGTTAGTTTCTGGAGCCCTTCCCCCATTTAATCCCCTGGGGATAGGAGAAGAGCCCTGTAACAGTCAGCTGCCTGTGTCAGTGTTGGCGGGATTGTACCTCATGCTGGCACCTCAGAAGACCCAAACGTAGCAGCTAACACTCTCTCTTTTGTTGCAGCCTTCCTCTGAGTGTGGTATGAAGGCAGCCAAATGGGGCCATTGGGGCAGCCAGAAAACCTCGAGAAGGGAGTAAGAGGCTCGGGGTCTATACCGAGCCTGGGACCTGCCCCCCATCCCTCTCCCCCCCCTCCCGAGCTGAGAAAGGGGTTTAGTATCTGGCTTATTAAGAAGAAGCCTCTTCACAAAAACTCACACAAAACAAGAGAAATGAAATGAGTTTCTAAAGCATATTTCTAAACTCCAATGTTAGAGGCCTTGCATGATGTTTAACAGGGTGTTGGGGGAAAGGCTTTTAGGAGGTAGATGTACAAGCCAGTATGATCCCAGGATGTTCAAAGGACTGGTTTACTGCTATAGGTACTGGTTCTACCAGAATATATAAGAATAAAATCTGATTAATTTCTCCATTAATGTAGAAAACAATCAGATGAAAAGGTCCTAGAATTCTATACTACCAGATTTATTTATCATATTAAACTTATTTAAAATCTTATTTTATTATGTTCTTTTGAAAGCTAAATTACTTGTGTTTTTTTTTTTTATTCCTTCTTCCCTCATGTTCAAATTACCCTGCAGGAAATTTCTTTTTTCCCTCTGAGACCATTTGTTATGTTGCCAAGCTGACTGGTATCGGCACCTGGGCTCCAGTTCCCTTCCACCTCAGCCAGCATCCTGAATGGATGGCGCTGCAGAGGCTCTTACATCTGTGTACACCCCACCCCCAGAGACCAAGTCTTACTCTGTAGCCCCGGCTGACCTGAAATTTGTGATTGTCTTTCTGCCTCGGCCTCCCAAATGCTAAGATGATAGGTGTGAGCCACCATGTCAGATTGACTACACTTTTAAAGTTAGACTCGGTGTGCACACATAGACATACACACGCTCCCAGGTGTATTTAGGGTTGGATCCCTAGGGGTCTCGTGCAAAACCAAAAGAAACTGAGGGAGCATCAGCTCTAGACTATGTTGTTTGATTTCCCCCCCCCCAAGTGCCTAACAAGTTGATATTAAACAGTGAATACTAATGGTTTCGTAGACAGACATTTGAATTGCCCAAGTCTTGGCCACTCAGGTACTTCTTTTTTTCCATCAAAGTTTGAATGAGTCTGTTACCCACCAGTATGTCAAAGGTCTGGAAAATGCTGTTTTTCTTAGAGTGTGTTGCCACATGCAGGTTCATTGGATTTGTCTTGGTGATCTCTGCTGTTAAGACAAATCCCAACCTTTCTGGACAAAGAACACAAGTCAAAAAGGGGAGGTCTGTGGGTGTACAGCCCTGGCTGCATACGGTCAGGCAGGAGACATGTTCCTTTCTCAAGTCACATCAGACCCATCATGCTTGGAGGAAAGTAGATTGTTTTTTCAAGTGTTGATTTGAATCCTACACCAGCTTGTTACACTAAGACTCAATGGTAAGTTTCAATCAGGTAGAAAGCCCTGACACCTGAATATATATAAATGCTTCCTTTCTGTCTATACGTGCAGAATACTTATAAGAATTCAGTAGGGTTTTGGCTTGGTTGATTGGGTTTGGGGTTGATTTCGGGGCCATGGCTGGAAGCAAGGGCCCTTGCCCACAGTGAGTATACTTTCTCACTGAGCTGTAGTCCAGCCCTGGAAAAGCTTACTATGAAAATGCCCCTCTGAGAAAGCCTGCCGGAGGCCGCCAGGCTGACTCGGGAGGGAGATGGTCTTAGCGCTGCCAGCGATGGCGCTGCACACACTGCTCAGCAGCCCTACTGAGATAGCCGTTTCTTCCAGCACCTGCCCTGGCCCTCTGTTAAAACCTTTCTTGTGGGGTATGTCCGGTCTAGCTAATCTTGGGATCCCTCTTCCTGGTCTGAGCCAGCTATCAAGGACAGCTGTGAATCCTGATGCCGTCAAGTGGAAGTGGCTCAGGTCATTTCTTACTTGATGGTTCTTGGTGTTTGGTTTTTGACTTTGAATTAAATTTGAGGTCAAACTGATGGTTCTAAAAGACTAAAGGGACATAACTTCTGTCTTCCCCAGTAGTTGGTATGAAAGCACACTACGAGGTTGATTTAGCACATGTAAGTCAAAAATGACGTTTTAAGCATCTCTAAGTGAAACTTGGTAGATAACTTACCATGTTCTTTTGGGGGCATTCTATGCTGTTTGGAATGTTTGTTGTAACTCATTCATCATGAATGAGTGCTGTGGGCACTGAGGTCTGGTCTGGACTGTTTGTTGGAGCTGTGAAGCCCTGGTGTCCATTTGATTTTGCTCAGTTATCTTGTAAAATGTGTTTGGAAGTGTGGCTAGGAAGTGTGAGTGCTGTCACTGGAAAGAGGAGAGTGACTTCCTGTCTATCCTGTGGGCAACCTTGTCTGTGTCAGCTTTGAAACCAGAAACATGGTTGCTCGTTGGCTGAGATGGCTCAGCAGGTACAAGTGTTTGTTGGACACACTGACCCCCGAGCTGTGACAGTGAAGGGAAGGCTGCTGGGATATAGGGTTTCTCTTTGTCCTGAGACTTGCTCTGTAGATCAGACTGACCTCGAGCTCACAGACATCCGCCTGCCTCTTCCTCCAGAGTGCTAGGACTAAAGGCGTGTGTGTCACCACCGCCTGGCAATAAATAAAATTCTCAAAAAAAAAAAACAAGGCTCTGCAAGTCAGGCAGCTCATCTAGTTGGCATCAGTGAGAGGGCAGACGAAACAAGAGCCCTGTTGGATCTTTCTGCCTTGTACAGATGGGTTTCCGTCCCGGGGGTCTTGCTGACAGGCCAGGGATGAGCCCAGCCTTGTCTAAGAAGAAGAGCTAGATGTTTGGTGGAGGTCTTAAAGCAGAAACCCTTAAATGACCTGAGGACAAAAAACTTCTAAATCAAGGATGAGGAGGAGTAAGAATCTCACTTCCTCACCTTTATTTTTATCTTAAATTTGCATTGGAAGATGCAGAAAACTGAGTATCAATAGGGTGTGATTAGCCCTGCTGGTTTGAGAATAAAATTTGGCTGTAAGTGCTGTATCCACGTGTCCCGACTACATCTTCATTCTCCAGCAGAGAATAGATGTTGTCTCAGCACCGGCTGCTTCAACCCTACCTTATTATTCTCACCTGCCAGGAACAACCACAAGAGGCAGGCGAGCTTTTTGTATGAAGGGCTTCTGCAGCCTCTCACCCAAGCCAAGTGGACCCGTGTTGTCCGTTTCAGTTTCTGCATCTCTGGAGGCTGATCTGTCCAGGGCATTTAGGAAAGTCAGTATTAGCCTCTCACTTGAGTCTGAGCAAATCTTGGGAATTCAAGAAAGTTGCATGTAATATTCAGGAGGAAAAGGCTTTTGTTACGCAGCTCACATGTGGAATGCTGGAGAGCATCCTTTTGCCATCCTCCATCTCTGCCCCGTGAGCGTTTGGTCTAAGAGTTGAAACTAGGAGTTTATGGATGAGTGTCAGCCCTTCTCAGCCGGCGTGGCACATGGAACAGAAACCCCAGAAACCTAGTGGGTGACCTTCTCCGTTGTGTGTTTTTATTTCGAAGAGTTGGCATGCAGAAATGGCAGGCGGGGCTCATGGGAGAGGATTAGTCTAGAGCTGGGATGCAACTGCCTCAGGAAGAGCATCTGTCGTGAGCTCTAGGACTGCTGCTTCCCGCCTGACACGTTCACTATGTGTTGTCTTCAGCTCAAGAAGGGCTTTCCTGCTGCTCTGGGCGCGAGTGTGGGACAGTGAATACAGTCTTCATCCCAGGAAGAGATCAGGGGACAGGAGTGTCTCCTGTCCAACCTCCAGAACCAGATCTAAGATCTCTCCACTAACTACCTGTGTTAGCTCGGATCTGCCCTGAGTCGCTGCTTTTGTGTTCCCTCCCTTAGCCTAACATTTCTCAGCCCCTGAAACATCCATCCACTCATTTTCGTGTCACTAAAGAATGAGGACCTCCAAAGTCTTAGAAAAATCTACTTGAAAATGACTGGTCTGTGTTTAGCTTACTGCTCTCCTGAGAGACACATGACCCCCAGTACCAGACCCGTGCTGTGCTCTCTGGGTTTCCATAGAAGGAGTGTCTCCTGTACACAGGATCATTTCTTACCTAGTTTTGATGACTGTTAATCTCTAATAAATATAGGAAGGGGTGAGCCTGATATCTTTGACCTCCCTCCCCCATCCCTTGCCACACCCCTACATGATGCACTTACTCCTAGATCCTACTGGCCTGTGTTCTGTAAGCTTTAGGCTAGCTCTTCCTCCCTGTGATGTGACCCCCAAAAATCAGTGATCGCCACTTCAAAGGGTGTCTGGAAGAGGCTACAACTTGCCTTTCTCCTCAGTTCCTGTTTTATCCACTCTGGCTGCCTCCTGTTTCCTCCCAGGCATTATTTCCAGTTACTATTTCCTGATGGTTCTGCTCACCTTACCTCCCTTCCAGTGAGCCTGAGAGCACAGACCTGAGTGCTGGCCTGTGCAGAGCTCAGAGCACTGTGAGGACCGCCCCTTCCTTCCTGTCTGACTGCTCAGGGCCAGAGATGATGAGTACCTGGTGCTGTCTGAGGGGCTCTTCACTCCTGCACCCCCTTCTTCCGCCGACTCCCTGTGCCCCAGCTACGGGGCCTGACCTGGACATTGTACGGGAGCCGCTGCTTGCTTGTTTCTCACCAGGCCTGCGCCAACACTCGGCCACTCCCCATGCCCCGCACAGTTCCCCAGTGGGGACTTACCAGGTTCCATTAGCTAAGTGACTGTATGTACAATACTTCCAGCACCCAAGGATGTGGGGGTGGGGAAGATTGTTTTAAATAAATAAAATCTAAGGAGGCAGTAGACGGTTCTTTTTGCTTTAAAAATCTTTGGACTAAAGAAATGTTTTTATATATATATATATAAATATAAAAAGTAAATCGTTGTGTAACTATTATTGTTTCCTGTATGTTCTAATTTTGTTTTATGATGTAATTAAAGGAAATGAGCTGTGAAGACTTTTCATTTTCCTGTGGAAAGAGCCTGACTCTGGACTGGGAATCCTAGTGTGGCCCTAGAGCTGCAGAGGCTCTTGGGGTGGCATCCTTGCTTTGTAAATATTTCTTACTGTCTTCGTTCACGTCATAGCTTTAGTCAATATTCTCCTAATAACCTTATTTCCTGCCCCAACTCCACAAGAATTTAAGAAACGCAAAGAACATGGTATAAATAAGAGCTGCCTTAACTGGGTTCAGCTCAGCAGTCCGGAGCGCTGGCTGCCCTTGCAGAGGACCAGGGGGCAGTTCATAGCACAGATGTGGCAGTTCCAACTGCCTGGAACTCCAGTTCCGAGGAGCTGACGCCCTCCACAGGCCCCATGTGCCTGTCCTGTTCTGCACGGTTGTGAGCCTGATGTGGGTCCTCTGCAAAAGCAGCAAGTGCTCCTAACCTCTGAACCGGACACAGTCTCTCCTTGACGGGCCTGGCACTTAATATGCAGACCAAACTGGCTTCAGACTCAAAAGATCTGACCAACTCGCCTCCTGAGTTTCAAGATTGAAGGCATATGCCACCATGCCTCGCCTTAATAAACTTAATAAATTTCTAACTGGAACCTGAAGTCTCAGAATGTAAATCAGTGGCAGGATGTTTATGTGTGCCCGGGTCCATCCCCAGCACTGCCCCTTGACCTGAACCCCTGATTTCTGGGCAGGACTTGCTTTTTCCTTGTCAAGGAAGGGGTGGGATCAGGTGGAGTGAGTGCAGAGAGATGCATGCAAGTGCAGAAGTCACAATGTCTAGGTTCAGATCTGTAGCCTCTACCACCTGTGTAGACTGCAGGCAGCTCCTGTCTCCACTAGCAATGTCTAATACAGATCTGGTAGCTAACGCTACTGTGTTGGCTGCCTTTGTTGGCCTCCCTTTAACAAATATTTCAGTATCAGCCTTTGTTAAAGGTCTTGGATACACAACGGTAAATATAGCAGGTCCTGTGTAAAGATGAGCGAGAGTCAGATCTGCTGGCTTAGCGCACTGATGCATCCCTCTGATGCAACACCTGAAAGGTGGAGGCGTTATAGACCCCAAGGTCACCCTGAGCTGTATAGTGAGACCCTGTCTTTAAAAAAACAAGTTTGGGGGCTGGAGAGATGGCTCAGTGGTTAAGAGCACTGCCTGCTCTTCCAAAGGTCCTGAGTTCAATTCCCAGCAACCACATAGTGGCTCACAACCATCTGTAAAGAGGTCTGGCTCCCTCTTCTGGCCTGCAGGCATACAGACAGAATATTGTATACATAATAAATAAATAAATGTTTTAAAAAAACAAGTTTGGTTCTCGGCACCCACAACAAGTGACTCACAATTACCTGTAGCTTCTGCTACAACCATCTTCAGCAGCCCAGATGCCCCCTCATGGCCTCTGCTGATAGTAGGTATGTAATATACAAACATACATGCAAGAACTCACACACAGTAGGCAAAAATTAAAAAAAAAAAATATGGGCTGGGGAGATCCCTCAGAGTTTAAGAACACTGGCTGCTTTTTCAGAGGTCCTGAGTTTGAACTCATGGTAGCTTACAACCATAATGAGATCTGGCGCCCTCTTACGGCATATAGGTAGAACACTATACATAATAAATCTTCCTTTTGAAAAAGGTTCCAGTGGAGGCAGGAGGATCAGGTCATCCTTGGCTACATGACAAATTTGAGGTGAGCCTGGGCTACATGACGCCCTCTTTCAGACCAAAATAGAAACAAAGGTCTGAGGAAGCACTTGCCTAACGAAGGAAAGGCGCTTGGGGTCAATAAACAATTTTTTTTTTTAAGTTATCAGTGGGGCATCATGACCCTTAACCCCGGCAGGGGCAGGAGGATCTCTTAATTCAAGATCAGCCAGGGTTACACTGAGAAACCTTGTCTGGGGGTTGGGGGGAGAGAGTTATCTCCAGTACTATAAAAACCCTTGGGGTTGATGAAATCATGAATCCCACTTGACATCCTCACCCCTTCCCCCTCCCCCCACAGACTGTTAAAGATGGTTTCCTGTCACGCATCCCAGGCAAGTCGCAATCCTTGTGACTCAGCCTGCTGACTGGCGGAATTACAGGTGTGTGACATCTATTCTTTATGCTGTATAAATCACAGATGAGGTCTGAATTAGTCATCTGTGGGCCTTAGAGTCCCTGTGAGGGATGCGTGCAGAGGTGACTGCCTGGCTGTTAACCCTTACCTTTCTGAAGAAGACGCTGCCCGAGTATTTAGATCAGCAAGATTCCCTTCCCCTCTGTCAGTCCAGTCAGTTTTAATTGTCTTCCGACTCACTTGCTCTCGCCAGAGCCCATCAGGTTTAAGATTCAGCAAGGGAGTGAAAATGAGCAAAGAAAATGTCATGATGAAACCTATTATTCTGAGCCCTAAAAAATGTTTTGGAAGATAGCTGGTGAGATTTCTGAGGCAGGAAAGCTGCCTGCTGCCAACACTGCCGATCCTGATTTCCATGGTGGAAGGAGAGAACCAACCCCTAGGAGTCGGTTCTGACCTCCACGTATGCATGTGTGCACCCAACCCACTAAATGTAATTTAAAATTTTAACTGAAAAACTGCACGAGGCTCAGTGGTTAGTTAGGCGTCTCCAAGGCTGTGCTCGAGTCTTCAGAACCACAAAGAGAAAGACACATTGGAAACTACTAAATTAATGGC